AGAGCCAAGAAAAACAGAAATCCTTGTAGCAGCTGTAGCATACCCTAAAACGTTTTAGGGACGGAAAAAAATTGAATTACTCAATGCAGTAAGAAATTCGTCCAGCTGTCACGGTATGTTACAAGTTTTTTTTTTTTTTTTTAAAAGCAGACTTTGTACCTACACTGCTCTCTGAAAGCTGACAGCCTTGAATATTATTTTGCAAATGCTTTTCAGGATGTAGAGACCTCTGGTGGCAAAAGTCACTGTCCTCTGAACTGATTTAAATTTTTTAATATTAGACGAAGCTTCTATTTTTGAGGGGAATGCTGTAAAAATATCAAAAAGCGGTTTTGCTGGATTTTAAATGCTGGAAAACATAGAAATATCTAAAGATATTGGTACAGATTTTAATATTATGGATCAAGGAAAGAGAACAAGCATCCTTTTTCTGAAATTGGCCATCTAGCTTTTCTGGAAAATAGTATTATTGAATCTGAATACTTACAAAAAATAATACTGAAAGTTAAATTCTAAATCTTGCCAGACTGCATTACTGCATGTTGTGGCAATGTTACCTGAGCATTATCTGTGTGACATAGAATGTGGAGGTGTGCATGCATATACCTGATATGGTAGTAAACTGAAAGTCTATACAGTTTTTAAGGAGATGTAGATTCTAATAAATTCATTTGTAAAACCATTTATACATTATGTTGATGTTTTTATTTTCAAATGAGAAATTCCAGGCCAGGTGTTGTGGCTCACACCTGTAATCCCAGCATTTTGGGAGGCTCAGGTGGGAGGATCACTTGAAGCCAGGAGTTCAAGACCATGGACAACATAGCAAGACCTCCTTTCTACAAAAAAAAAAAAAAAAAAAAATTTAAAAATCAGCCGGATGGGGTGGCACACACCTGTAGTGCTAGCTACTTGGAGGCTGAGGCAGGAGGATCACTTGAGCCCAGGAGCTTCAGGTTACAGTAAGCTATGATAATGTCACTGCACACCAGCCTGGGTGACAGAGGAAGACCATGTCTCTTAAAAAAAAAAAAAAATTCCAGACATATATTTTATAAAAATGAGCTTGGATTTGAAAAGTGCTTTGTGCCAAAAATATCAAACCTAATTTTTATAGTGCTTTACTTTCAGAATTTATATTGCTTATAATTTTTAAAGTAGTTTCCCTTTCTGATAGGGTAAAGAGGAATATAAACATTTTCATGCTAGAGCAGCTCCTAGGTGAGACTTACTGTGAAGTCTTTTGCATATGGCGCCCTGTAAACACGGTGAGCTCTTGCTGTCACAAGGTCAGCCGAAGTCCCTGAGAAGGTACGCAGCACCTCTGCGGTCATTCACGAGGTTCTGTGAGGTGTGGTAAGGCATCTAGCACCTTCCGATGCTAACTGAGAACTCAACTTTGAATTTATAAGATTATGCTGACCATTTATAAAAATGCACAAAAGATGATTATTAGTCCTAATCCAAGTTATCAATCTCGTAATAGCCTGCAACTCTGAGGTATCCTTTGGTTTAAACGTTTTTTGCATGGTATTTTAAGGTTATCACTTAAAAATTTCTATAAACTTCAGTTTGTATAGCACTTTCTCAAGGGCTGTCAATACCACATACAAAATAATTTATATTAAGAAGTGATTTAATACGTAATCATGTGTCAGAGCATAAATTTTGTGACTAGGGACAGTAGCTTTCCAACTAAGATAATTGCGTGAACTCCATTAAAAATGATTATCATTCATCAATGGCTTTGTTTTCAACCTATAAACAGCCCCTCCTTTCAATGTACCTCGTTTTTATAGGACTTCAAAATATGTAAAAATAGCATTTCTTGGAAAATATGCCATAAAGTCATTTTTAATTATTTGCACTAAATGTTTTATGTATTTTTTAAGTCTTCCACCTACACCACCCTCATCCTCCCGTCCAGATTAATGCTGAGAACATCACAGAATTTCCTGGGGCATGTCCCTGTGAAGCGGTCAAGAGTAAATGTTCACTTTTCATAATACTGGAATGATCTGGCATTATTTTGAAGTAATATAAAATGTTTATTTTTATGTCACCAGTTGTCGCCACATCCATCGCTGGTAGTGGGATAAGTGTTGGGGAAAAACTCAGTTCCCAACAGTGGATACCTGCTAATGACAAACCTTTTCTACTTTCTTAATATAGTCCCTTTAATTTTTGCAGAAAATATATTTTTGTGACAATTATTCTTATGGTCTTTATCAGCAGAAAAAAAGTCACTCACTATATAATGTGTTGCAGTTATATTAATTAAATGTATGTAGGTAAAAGTGTATTACTTTTCTATATAAAAAATGTAATCTCTGATGTTGTAGTTCCCCTAATATTTGTAATACAATTTTATGTACTTAGTTTTATCCTTCTTATAAAATAAGAACTAAAGATATCTTTGTTATACCCTTGAAATTTTAATTTGCATTGCTGTATTTTAAACCTAAACATAATTAATCATTTTAAATTGAGGAGGCCTAAATATTAACCACAATGTTAAATAATTTCTCATTTAAATCAATTTCTAAAGCCTTCGAAATTGACATTAATTAAAAGAATTAAGGATCTCAGAGAAAAATTAAGTTTATTACTAACATCTAATGAAACCATGTATATTAAAAAAAAAAAACTTGTCCAAAATATCAGGTTATCCTGCATTTGTGCTCTAATCTACTTTTTTACTTTATGGCTAATTTTTAGCATACAAACACATAGCTGTAGGGAATAACTGCCATGTTTCAGAGTTTTCCAGTTTCATTTTCCCTTTGCAGTCTCCGCCTAAGAATTAAATCGTCTACATAATAGAACATATAAGGGAATATAGTTAAATATAATAAAGCCAGGTTAAATAGTATCCTTTCCATCTGCCCAAAGTTGATAGCACACACGTACTTTTTCAAAATTAAAGTAGAGCTAACACTACCAAAAAGAAGATGAATGACTTGGATGGTTGTTTCAGAACTTAGCAATGCAGGCCTTGGAAAGAGCTCTTGGTAACACGCACTGCACTGCATCTGCGACTTCAGGGACAGGGACCTTTTCTGAGGACCAGCTGGCCTTAGCACCTAATGTGATGTACGCATCTAATGTAAGATCCTGTTCATTGTTAGCATGCTTTTCAAAACCTTTGGAATAGTCACTGGTAACCCTCAGAAATGTTCCCGTTAACGTGTCGATAATGTACCTATATCTCTGAAAACAAAACGAACTGATGGGGTAAAAGCTTGTTCCACAGGGCAGCTATGTAATGAACAGGAAGATTTATTCAGTTTTAACTACTGGTTATAAATACCATGTTCTATTGTCACTCTCTCTAGGTTTTCACCTATACAGCATGTAAATCTATCACACAAGTGAATTTATCTGCTAATAGAGAATATTTGAAGCCACAGTGGACTCTGAAGTACCCGAAAATGTGCCACCAAGCTCAGCTAATTTCTCTGTTTTTTGTAGAGACGGGGTCTCATGGTGTTGCTCAGGCTGGTCTTAAACTCCTAACCTCAAGCGATCCTCCCACCTCGGCCTCCCAAAGTGCTAGGATTATAGGCGTGAGCCACCGCGCCTAGCCTATAACAATCTTTATTAGGTAGTGCTACCTTTTCTTCTCTCTAGAAATATCTATAGATGTTGGTTAATGGTCTTTTAAAATGAAAACTTTCAGCTGTGCTAAGGCAGGAGGATCACTTGAGTCAGTGATTGAAGTTGCAGTGAGCTATGATGAAGCCACTGCACTCTAGCCTAGGCAACAGAGTGAGACCTCGCCTCAAAAATTATAAAAATTTTTTAAAAATTAAAACTTTGGATATTAAAAGGAAAACCAAACCCCTTCTATATTTTTGTTTTTAATAAATAATGCATTTGTAAATTTGAATGGAAAACCACTTGTATGTATGGCTATCAGGTTGCAGTTATACTCTTGATCTTAATTTAAAATACACTATTTGGGCCGGGCCGGGCGCGGTGGCTCAAGCCTGCAATCCCAGCACTCTGGGAGGCTGAGGCAGGAGGATCGCTCAAGGTCAGGAGTTTGAGACCAGCCTGAGCAAGAGCGAGAACCCGTCTCTACTAAAAATAGAAAGAAGATAATTGGCCAACTACATATATATAGAAAAAATTAGCCGGGCATAGTGGCCCGTGCCTGTAGTCCCAGCTACTCAGGAGGCTGAGGCAGGAGGATGGCTTGAGCCCAGGAGTTTGAGGTTGCTGTGAGCTAGGCTGACGCCACGGCACTCTAGCCCAGGCAACAAAGTGAGACTCTGTCTCAAAAAATAAAACAAAATACACTATTTGATAAAAATGTCATGAAAGATGAAGTCTAATAATCAAAAAATAAATGCATTTTTCAAAACTTATAGAAAATTAAAAAAACTTAAAAAAGAAATCAAGATCAGCAGAGCATCTGGCAGTGGAGAAATGTAGCTCCTCGAACCCCTCCGTACCCCGGTGCCCTGCTCTATGATGGGACAACGAAGGGACCCCTGGCCGAACGGACCCCTGGCCGTGGCAGTGGAGGTCAGCGCTGGTAAAACGCACATGCGCAATAGAACAGAGAGGCACGTGGTGAGCTCAGAACTGCAGCCGCTACTGAGACACGTGCCGATCTTCCCCGCCAGGCACGAGTCTAAAGGCAGGTTGCAGCGTGTGGACTGGCACCGCAAAAGCGACAGGAAAACTGGCTTTCAGGGTCAAAAGAAAAGAGCGGAGTTACCAGGTTTCAGATGGAAATCTACATCAAGAATGGGAAGATGCTCGTCTCCGTCTTTGAAGGTCTTGCCTTTTGCAAGATTAAGGAAGGAGGTTTAGATTTCAGGCTAACCAGAGAGAAACGAGGCTGGACTCGCTGAAAATGATTAGGCCCCAAAGCAAAAGCTACCGCATGCAGAAGAAAAGAAAAGAAATCCTCGCAAACGCACTCCACACAAGTCACTGAAAGTCAGCGCCGAGGTGAACGTCAAGAGGAGACTTTGGAATAGGAGAAACACCTGATTTCTGTGTGGCACGGCATACACGTCCTCAACGCGACCTCCCTCTTCTCTCCGGGCACTGACTTGCCCCGAATGCTCGCAGCTGGATGACACCTGGGACTCAGCGTCCTCTTCTTCCCCATAGCCCAGTGTCTCAAAGGATGGCAGAGAAGTCCTTCTTCCCACCTCACTCTGCCCACTTAGTCTGCATCAGAACATTAGAGAGCAAAACAGAAAGCATTTAACACTTGGCATTGACACACACACATGCATTAAGTGCACTGCCTCCAAGCCCCCACCTCGAATGCGGAATGCATTATGAAACACAGACGCTAGGAGACTAAATCATCTGCTATCCCAGCTTTTTGTACACTCAGAATTTCTTCCTATTTTTTTTTCCTGGTTTTTTTTTTCTTTTTTTCTTTTTTTTTTGAGACAGGGTCTCACTTTGTTGCCCAGGCTAGAGTGAGTGCCGTGGCGTCAGCCTAGCTCACAGCAGCCTCAAACTCCTGGGCTCAAGCAGTCCTCCTGCCTCAGCCTCCCGAGTAGCTGGGACTACAGGCATGCACCACCATACCCAGCTAATTTTTTCTATATATATTAGTTGTCCAATTAATTTCTTTCTATGTATAGTAGAGACGGGGTCTCGCTCTTGCTCAGGCTGGTTTCGAACTCCTGACCTCGAGCAATCCGCCCGCCTCAGCCTCCCGGAGTGCTAGGATTACAGGCGTGAGCCACCGCTCCCGGCCTTTTTCCTGGTTTTATGTTAAGACTGCATATATACACAACTTGTCTTGTTCTTAATAATTTTATTTTTGTTTTTTGAGACAAGGTCCCGCTCTGTCACCCAGGCTAGAGTGCAGTAGTGTTATCATAGCTCACTGCAGCCTCAAACTCCCGGGCCCAAGTGATCCTCCTGTCTCAGCCTCCCAGGTAGCCGTTACTACAGGCGCACGCCACTGTGCCTGGATAATTTTTAAATTTTTTATAGAGACAAGGTCTCACTGTGTTGCCCTGGTCTCAAACTCCTGGGCTCAAGTGATCTTCCTGCCTCAGCCTCCCAAAGTGCTAGGATCACAAGCATGAGACACTGTGCCCTGTGATTCCTACCTATTAAAATGTTGACTATAAAACTTATTAGGCTGGGCATGGTGGCTCATGCCTGTAATCCAAGCACTTTGGAAGGCTGAGGCAGGAGGATTGCTTGGGCCCAGGAGTTTGAGGCTGCAGTGAGCTATGATAACACCACTGCACTCTAGCCTGGGTGACAGAGTGGGACCTTGTCTCAAATAAAAAAGAAAGGAAGAGGAGAAAGAAGAAGAAAAGGAGGGAAGGAGGAAAGAAGGAAATAGGTGGGAATCGAGCAGCTCTTGTAATGAACATCTATGCACAGATAACCTCTTCCATATTTAGAATTCTATAATACAAACCACCATACATTAAGTCAAATGGTATGAACATTTTGTGTCTATGTGCATACTGCACAAAATCATTTCTCCAACCTGCAACTGCACTGGTAATAATTTTCTAAATCTTGCCAAAACAATTCCCACTGTCTAAATTCGCAGTTCTTACTGAGACTGAATGTGTATTTATGTTCGAGTCATAATTCCTCCATTACCTTCTATGTTTTAACTTCTATATGATGGGGCTAATCCAGCCCTCCCCCTGGGCTAGCATTCCTCCTGTCCACATTTCTTCTGACGGTCTTATAAATTTATCCTTTCCGGCGAGTTTCATAACCACTTCCGTTAGTTCTTGTTCAGCCAAAGTATAATTCTTACCAGAAGAAAAACAGGCTACGCTCTAACATCTTACAATGGAGGCAATATTTAAATGTAAAAACCATTCATGCATTATGGGATAAGATAAAAGAAAAAAAAAGAAAAAAAAAAGAAAAAAAAAAATAAATGTAAAAACCAAAAATAAAAGTACATCCTAGAAGGAAATGTGTTAAGTATTTATATAATGCTTTTGTAGGGAGGTCTTTCTAAATTTGACAATAATGACTGAAACTGTAAAGGAAAAGGAAAAAAACTGATAGATTTTACTACATTAAAAAAAACCCAGAATATTTGGCATATCAAAACAACAAAAACAAAACTGAATAATACACATGACGATCAAAAAGGCAAATTTGATCATGTGCTCCCCCCTGCCCAAAAGCCCTTAAAGCCACCAGTGTCTTTTCTTGACTCCCAAGGAAGACACAAGCCTGGGAAAAATGATGTCACAGGCACTGCAGCTTGCCCCGCCCACTCCTTGACCCCGCCCACCTCGCAGCAGTCTCCAGCTAACTGGAGTCCCAGATACAAACGTCTTCCTTCAACTGCTTGCATCTGCCGTGCTCCCTGCTCTTAGTCTGGAAAGCTCATATCCCAGCCCCACAGTGACCATCCCCCCCCTCCAGCTGTCCCCAGTTGATTCCTGAACAGCCCTACGCTCCACTCAACTCCCTCTTCCCGAGGATGGAAGTTTCCCAAGCCCCTAGCCCTGTACCACCTCAAACCCAGGCCAAGCAAAAAAGGAAAAGAGATTAAAGAAGAAAGAGAAGGTTACACAGGTGCCAAAGAAGGTAAAATTGGTATGAATGTTTGGGGAGAGACACGTGAGAAGTGACAGACGACTGTCACTGTTCAGGCTGCGGCAGAGAATCCCACCAAGGGCTGAGAGCACCGCTGCATTCATTGGCTCTGCGCTGCCAGGAAAATGACCAGTGCTTTCATAAGTCGCAATTTAACAAGAAGCGCTCCGGAGGAAATTCTCATCCCAGAGCAATAACGTCCCTGGACGGTGTCCCTTTGACACTGGTGATGAAAACCCTGGCGACCGAGACTCTAGCCGTTAACTATACACACGTGCACACACACATGTAGAGACCGGGCTGCTGCCACCCTGAGCGCAGCACAGCCAGCGACACGGCCCCTACCGAAGTCTCAGCTCCGAGGAGGTGGCATAGGGCTCGATGAAGCTGTCCTTTTCCACGGAGGTCGTGTCACTCTCAGACCGGGAGCGTGGCTGGCGAGGCTGGGGGATGGCAACGGTCCGCCCCGTCAGTGTCGTCGCCAGGATGGCTGCAGCCAGGGCGGATCTACGGAGAAAACGTGCCGCTGAGACAGTGAGACACGGACACTCAAGTTCAAGGCTGAACAACAAGCTATGTGGACTGATCAAGGTTCGCTTTCTCTGTTCTACACCCCCGTAGTCTACCACGTGCCAAAGGATAAGCTCATTCCATTCTCTCGTCCACCGTGTGACCAGGTATTAGTGTCATCCCACTTTCTGTAGAAATTGGACAACTTGCAAAGATTTCCTAGCCTCTATATAGGAGGTGGGACCAGATCTCTAATCCAGGCAGCCAAACGCCAAAGCCTCAATGCAAGTAGTTTTCTTATTAAAATGAAAGATCAGGCCGGGCGCATTGGCTCACGCCTATAATCCTGGCACTCTGGGAGGCCGAGGCAGGCGGATTGCTCGAGGTCAGGAGTTCAAAACCAGCCTGAGCAAGAGCGAGACCCAATCTCTACTATAAATAGAAAGAAATTAATTGGCCAACTGATATATATGTGCATATATAGAGAGAGAGAAAAAAATATTTAGAATATATATGTTATATATATTTTATAAATCTTTATATATTATATATATTTTATAAATTATATATATAATATATTTCTATATATAGATATATATAGAAAAAAATTAGGCGGGCATGGTGGCGCATGCCTGTAGTCCCAGCTACTTGGGAGGCTGAGGCAGGAGGATTGCTTGAGCCTAGGAGTTTGAGGTTGGTTGATGCCACAGCACTCTAGCCCAGGCAACAGAGTGAGATTCTGTCTCAAAAAAAAAAAAAGAAAGAAAGATGTAAAAGGACATTTTTAAAACACTTGAAAATTATTCAAACATTTAGGGAGGAGACTGTAACAGGTTTACCCTCCTGCCTGAAGAAAGAAAAACAAAACGATAGAGTTGGAATTGTCCCAGCTCACTGCCTGGAGGAACTTCCATGTCACAGCACAAGGAGCAGGGACTGCAGTGGAGACAGGCGGACTCCCCGAGTTGCAGAGATGGAGCTGAGAGCGGGGGGACAGAACTAGCAGGACAGAGTACCAGAAAGGTGCGATCTTCACAGAGAGAACCCCAGAGATCTGCAGAAGGTCCCCCGAGTGTTCAGCAAAATACTCCTTAGCACATGCTTGTGAAGAAATTATCCAAAGCTGGAGGCAGAACCATCCAAAAGGATTACAGGAACAGTGCCAGGTGCTTACACATGGCTGGGGACCGTGGCTGCTCCCACAGGACAGGAAACACTTATCATTCACAGGACATGGGGTACAGCACTCAAAAAGGTCTGCCCTTAGTAGTGGGGAATAAATATCCCTAGCAGATCGCTGCTCCAGAACCCAACTAATAAGTCATAAACACAGGACTCGAAAGATCAAACTATCTCTGAGAAACTGCATCCCAGAACAAAGGTCAAGATGATTTATAAGAATACAAAACCATCCAGCACTCAACAAGGTAAGATTTACAACAGTGTCTTGTACCCAAAGATAACCAGGCATGCAAAGAGACAGAAAAACGTGAGCTATAATGAAGACAATAATCAGTCAATTGAAACTTTCAAAAATTTTTTTTGCGACAGTCTCACTCTGTCACCCTGGGTAGAGTGTAATGGTGTCATCATAGCTCACAGCAACCTTAAACTCCTGGGCTCAAGCGATCCTCCTGCCTCAGCCTCCCCAGTAGCTGGGACTACAGGCACACCCACGACGCCCAGCTGATTTTCTATTTTTAGAAGAGACAGGGCTCTGCTTAGGCTGGTCTTGAACTGCTGAGCTCAGGCAATCCTCCTGCCTCAGCTTCCCAAAGTGTTAGGATTACAGGCATAAGCCACTGTGCCCAGCCTGAATGTTATTTTTCAGAAATAAAAAAAAATCTGGAAATATGATAAATTTTCCAAAGTTGTTTAAAGATTACAATCCAGGAAGGTATTTTTGTAAAGCACAGGAGACTATAGGGAGAGACTGTCCGATACTTCCACAGTTTGCTTGCCATGAAATAACACGTTTCAGATATTTTTCTGCTTTACGATGGAATGCAAAGCTAACCCTCCAGCTACTCGTGGTGCTACATAAACATTTAAGTCCTAATGACACAACGTAAGAGTTACACAAACTCCTTAGAGCTAGACAAAGCCACACTGGCATGACAGCAATGCCACCACTCAATAGCCAGCCCTGAAACACGGAGCCAGCTACTAATGCTTGGGCCTTGTATACCCAAAGAGAAGACACAGGACCTCAAGAGGGTGAAATGAAACAATGCTTCTTAAGCATTTACCAGAGTACTTGGTGCAAAGGAAACATGAATAAATGGCTAATCTTTTTTTTTTTTTTTTGTAGAGACAGGATCTCACTATGTTGCTCAGGCTAATCTCAAACTCCTGGCTTCAAGCAAGCCTCCCACCTTGGCTTCCCTACATGCTGGGATTATAGGTGTGAGCCACTGCACCTGGCCAATAAATGCCTGTTCTTGTTATCAAGATTGTACTGAAAGAAAAAAAAAACCAAAACACTAAAAAACCATATTACCGAGTGTTTATTATTAGGAGACATACATTATCCTACTACCAAAGAACATTAAAAAGAAGGCACCACCCTTGAATGAAATGAGTTCTCATTCTCTGTTAATAACCAAGTCAATGCATTTGATGGATTAAAAAGAGTCTAAAATTCTTCTGTATCTAAAACCTGGGAGGACACAAGCAGGGGGCTCAAGGACACCCAGCAATAAAGGACAGTTGGCTGTGTGGGGTGTCTAAACACTGGCAAAGGGGAAATCCCAGGCCCCAGCCGTGAACACACTTCTCCTTCCTTCCCATAACACGGTTCTTTAAAGGGCAGACTTATGGTTAAAAAGAAAAGTATGTGCACAATTCAAAATTCCCTTTAAAGTACTATTAGCCTGAATACCTGGGCTTTAATGCTTTGTATTTTGGAAAACACGAATTGCATTCAATTACAAAACGTGAGACCGTCATGCACCTTGAAAGGGACAGACCCAAATCCGTTGCCCCTCAGGGAAACCACACTAAGCGTACCGTGGTGGAACCGCGGTAAATATAGCAGAGGACATAATGCTAACTGCCCTACCAGTGATTTTCGGGCCAGTCTGGTCTGTCCTAACAGTTCTAACCGTCCACACGCTTTGGATCCCGTACTCGGACGCCGAGTGCGGGGGCGCCCCGGGCGCCTGCTCCTCCGAGACTCACCTTGGTCTCTCTGGAGACGGGTTGGGGCTGCGGGGAGGAGGCGTGCGGGGCACGGCCGGCTTCGGAGCGATGCTGGCTGCAGGGAGAAGGCCGTGGACGATGTGTTTCTGCACAAAAGGAACGCAGCAGAGGTCGCTGGAGGGGAATCACCTGAGTTTTGTAGCCACCGCCCCGCCCGCGGACCTGAGAGGAGACACCTGCGCTGGCCGCCCAGGACTCAGGCTCCGCCCCCTCTTCTCCCCTGCCATCCCCACCCCCGTCTGGCCAGACAAGTGCACCCACCCAGGGAGCAACGTCACAGCTGCCCACTGTGGGGCCCTCTCGTCCTACCCACCTCATTGCAGCTTCCCTGACTGTCCCCCAGAGTCCCCCTCTAGGCCCTGCCCTTGTGCCACAGTACTGCCCCCACTGATGCCTCGCGTGCTCTCCCCCTGCAAAGCAGGGCGGCTTCCCGAGAAGCAGGTGACTGTTATCTTTCCCAACCCCAGCACTCTAGCACCGAGCACGAGGCCTCACACCTGGCAGGGGCTTCATAAAGATTGCACGTGGCTAATCTCTAAGACGCAGAGTAACAAAAGCTAGCTCCTGCGCAGCATGAAAGTAGAGAGCCCTGCTTCGGGTTCCAGTCTCCGTTGTCTGGGTGCTAGCCGTTCATTCACATCTACTAGAGGCAGAACACCATGACAGCAACGAAGAAATCTTGTCCCCATCCTCAGGGAAGTAGAGTATAGCGGGGAAACACCCACGCAGTTCTCACAGAACACGGAAGAGCCAAGGGAAAGGGAAAAGCAAAGTGCTGGGAAGGCCCAGGGAGGGAAGGGCTCCTTCAGGCCTGGGGACCTCAAATGCCCTCCGCAGCGAAGATCACAGAGGCATTCAGACTGGGTTTTCAGAGATGGCCCCTGCTCCCGCATTTGGAACTCTTAATGGGAAAGCATTTTAGGAAGGGAGAACAAAGGAATGGAGCAAGACACTGGTGGCAGTGCTCTGGAAATAACAGGCACAGTGCTCTGGTTTGCTGGAAAGCAGAGTCACCTGTGAGGCAGAGGTTAGAAGACGGGCTGGGGGTGGGAGTGGGATTGCTGCCATCTGAGGAGCTTTCGTACCAGACTGAGGAGATCGGGTGGCCTAGTGAGGAGCATCCATTGGCGGGTGCTGGGAGGACTAATCGGGCAGTGTTTGGCACAAAATACAAAGGGGGAAAGGGAGGCGCAACCATGGGGCACTCTTCAGGAGAAAGGGACCGCAGGCCTCCCAAAAGCCTCCCCACCCTAGCCCAGTTCCACCTGCACAGCCACCCATAGGAGTGGGTGTTCCAGAACAGTCTCTGCCCAATCCCTCCACTCTCTGTTTACCCCTCAGTGTGGCGCCTACCACCCCGCATTTGTCCAGCAATTTGACAGTTTACACACATGCCTCCTCCCTGCCCCCCACAACCACCTGGGAGAGGCTCAAGGACAAGAAAGGGCTTTTTTAACCTTCAAACCTGCAGAGGCTGGCCTCTAGTAGGTTCTCCAAAAAGGCCTCATGAGCTTTGTTTTTGTTTTTGAAAGAGTGAATCCCCTACAGTATGCTAAACATTTCCTAATGTCCTATCACCTCCAGACTCTAAATCACAGGATGATCCCACCTCTGCCCAACATGAAAACCTTCCCACAAAGGAAGCCCCCCGTCTCTTGCTGACAGGTAAATGCTCCAGCGTGGCATAACAGGCTGCTGTATGGACCCAGATTCATTTCGTGCTAACCCTCTTCATCCTGCATTTATTCTCTAGGCGTTAACACTCAGAGTTGCCTTCCATTTCCCAAACAGCAAATATAATTCATTCTTCTCCAGGCCTTGGTATATATGCTGTCTTCTGCACCTGGAATTCTTTCTCTACTCCCTAAAAGGCCCAGGGCAACTCTCCAGACTGACTTTGCTGCCCCTCCCCTGGTACACATGTCTACAATAGTTCTTGTTTTACCATCTTGTGAATTATTTATCTACGATTTATCTACTCTCTAGACAATGTGGCCCAAGGCTATCAATCAGTTGTGGGTCTCTGCACACATTAGAAACTTAACATGACTTGAGTTAGCAAAATTGCAATGCAAAAATATGTTTCAGTTATGTCTTCTTCATTGCTTCTCAACACCCTCCTGTCAGCAGGTCATAGGCTGAGAACACAAAGCCAAATCAGACATGCTCTCTGGCCTCACTTTAAAATACAGTTCAGGAGTGCCCTTATCACAACGCTTTTTCTGCACCTTAAAGTATTCATTTTGTGGAGAATTGACAGTAAGTAGGTTTGGGGTTTTCCCAGGCAACTACGGAAAAGGGAGGCAGGATCAAGGGAGTTGAGGGTGTATGCGGGGAGTGTTGGACGGTGGACTTAGAGCTGGAAAAGAGGGCAGTGAGGACATCAGGGATGGGACAGTCAGTTAAAAGTTGGCAGGATCAACAGATTGTAGGGGGGAGGCGTGAACAGATCATTGGAGTTAGGATCCTAGAGGAAGTAAGTAGGACAGGAAGGAGGGATGGTCAGAGACTGAGGCTGGGAGTACAAGCATTCAGTGACAGAGTGGCTTTGGCGGAGGGAAGCATTCCAGGCAGAAGGAACGGAAAAGGTGGAAGCCCGGGTGGAGGCCGGCGTGGCTGGAGAGGGTGTACCGTAGTGGTGGTGGCGGTCATGGCACTGTTAGCTAACAAGGGCAGAGGCACGCTCAGACTTGAGCTTTAAAATAATCCCTCTGCCTGCTGCATGGAGAGTGGACCTAGGGGCAGGGCAAGCGTGGAAACAGAGGCACCAGCGAGGAGCGGCCGCAGCAGCCCAGACAGATGCCGGACGGCGGGGTGTGATGGAGGCGGAAGCAGCCTACCGATGCATTTGTCGGGGAAGGACGAGGATCTACTTACGAACTGGTGCCTGCGGCCTCTGCGAAACCCCAGGAGCATCCTTGCGGCGGGCGGGTGGGCGCACCAGGGCCTGGATTCACCAGCAGCTCTCATCACAGCCAGGGCGGCCCGCTAAAGCCGTCCCGGGTCCAGTCTTCCGGCTTAGCACTAGACGCTTTTTCTTTCCGGAGGACTTTGCAACAACCGCGTCTGCTATTGGCTCGGTTTTGTCCGCGACCAATCAGAGCCAAGCTTACTTCCACGCGCGTCGTGTTGGCAACCGGCAGGTTCCATTCAACTTCCCCCCCAGAGCGGAAACGGTCTGCGCTGTCGGTTCTCTCATTGGCCGAGTTAGGTGTCCATCTCCAACGCCACAGCCTATCCGCCGCTGTGGGGGGCGGAGGGCGGGCTGGATGAAGCACTTTGAGAGCATCTGAGGCGTGAAGCCGGAAGTGGCTCGGCCTCAGGTAAAAAAAAAAGTCGCCCTTGTGTAGAGTGGGGCGGAGGTGGGGACCCTGCTAGCTCGGTCCCCGCCCTGGACTGGACTGGGGAGCCATAGTGCGCGGCGAGCTGGGGTGCCAGGGCCAGGTACGTGACGAAAACGAGGGACGCGGCCACCGGGACAGGAATCTCCCGGTTCTTAGACTTGTGCAAATAATTCGGTTTTTGAAAGAACACTCTGCAGACGGGATCCTGCCCCAGAGGCCCCGGCTTCGAGCGCAGTGTGGGGCCGTGTTGCATTTCCCTCCGATGGAAAGGGTCCCCCCTGATGGCCCGGGCCCCGTGCACGTGCCTTTGGGGCACATCGTGGCCAGTGAGAAATGGCGCGGGTCGCAGCTGGCGCAGGAGATGCAAGGTCAGTGGGCTGCCTGCTGCCATAAGCCCCGTCCTGCCCCCACACTTTTTTTTTTTGACGGTTTGCCTGTTGCTGCCTTTTCATACAAAGCTCACTCACAGATCTCATTTTCATTTTAAGGGAAAATTAAGCTCATTTTTGAGGATGGCCTGACACCAGATTTTTACCTGTCGAATAGATCCTGCATCCTTTATGTCACCGAAGCTGATTTGGTGGCAGGAAATGGCTACAGAAAGAGGCTTGTTCGGGTTAGAAATGTAAGTACTGGATTAAAGAAACTGAAATTGCACATGGACTTGGTTATCTGCACCCCCCTTTCCATTGGCCATTCGAAGCACACAGTGATAGCTTTCTTAACCTTGAAAGGAATTTTTGTCACACAATGATTTACTACTGTCTTCTTTTAAGTCCAGTAATCTTCAAGGCATCGTAGTAGTTGAAAAAACCCGGATGAGTGAACAATACTTCCCAGCCTTACAGAAGTTTACTGTGCTGGACCTTGGAATGGTGTTACTTCCAGTGGCCAACCAGATGGAAGCATCCTGCCTCATTGTCCAGTTAGTAAGTGTGGCTTCCTCTGCTTTCACCGTAGACCTGACCCCATGCCGACTCTCAGCTGCCCTTGTTATAATTGCAACTCATCAATCCCATCTGTGTCATTCCCCGTGCTGGTTTAGAAAACCTTTTTGAGGAATTTATTAGTATGTTCAGAAGCTGCCTCGGCAGCCAGCTGAGCTTGCCGCCCACTCTAGGCAAGTGGATCACAAAGTAAACCAGTTGGAGACTCCCAGGCTGTGATGACGCCATCATTCATTATTATCTTGCATTTACACTGGCGAATAAGTCAACCAGCAGCTGCTTTGCCTCATCCCTACAGCACTTGTGTGTGTGCAAGTTTGTGATGTTTATCTAAAAACAAACAAAAAACCTGGTTCTCTGTTGTCTTCACTGACTTTTCAACTTGGTTGTACATTACAATGTCCTGGGGAACTTTTAAAATAGTAACACATGAGCCTTACCTCTGACCAATTGAAAATCAAAACATAGTGGTAGGGCCAGAGCATCACTGCTTTTGCATTATTATTTTGTTTTGTCTGAGACAGTCTCACTCTGTCACCCTGGCTAGAGTGCTGTGGCATCAGCTTAGCTCACAGCAACCTTAGACTCCTGGGCTCAAGCGACCCTCCTGCCTCAGCCTCCCAGAGTGTTAGAATTACAGGCGTGAGCTACTGCACTGGGGCCTGTGTTGTTGTTCAATTTCCTCCTCTGATGTGCACCTAGAGTTGAGAACCAAATTGGGAATGGCAGGCAGCCCTGTGTGGTTCGGTATTCCTAACTTCCCTTGATACGATGCTGTTGTCTGCCTTAGTAGAACCACCACAATAAATTGTTTACGTCTTACTCCTTTGTACGGCTAGTGATTCATATTTCAATAATTTTGTTGCCTGAAAAATTATGTTCATGGTATCTGAAAACATTGGTACTCACAAGTCCAGCCGAACCAAATGGAAAAACCGAATTTCCACGAAACAAATTTTAAGAACGTCGCCAGTCCTCCAGAGGGCGCTCATGTGCTTTCTCTTTAATTTCTGGTTCAGGTTCAGGAGCAAACCAGAGAGCCCAGTAAGAACCCTTTTCTCAGGAAGAAACGGGCTCTGCTGTCCGAGCTGTCGCTCCTTCGAACCGTGCAGCAGATCCCGGGCGTTGGGAAAGTGAAGGCGCCCCTGCTGCTCCAGAAGTTCCCAAGTATCCAGCAACTGAGCAACGCTTCCGTCCAGGAACTGGAACAGGTGGTCGGACAAGCCGCAGCACAGCAAATCCACGCCTTCTTCACACAGTCCGGGTGACAGCTGGCCGTTAGGCCTCAAACAGGATCTTGCTTTCATACTCAAGAACTAAGAAGGAAAAAAAAAAGACTTCTCCTCACAGCAACTAGAAGATGAGGTGAGGCCTGAGCGGAGCCCGCAGGTGGGCACGGCCCTGGGGTCCGCATTGCAGTTGGTGGGCACGGCCCTCCCTCTGCTGAGCCAAAAAGGGCCGGTGGGGATCTTCATTCTCAAAAAAGTCAGTTAGGGCCATATTATATATAATGTGTGACCTTGACCTGTGTCTATCATAGGGAAGTCTTATAAAAAGTTCCAGGTGGAGGGTGTGACCATCAAAGGAAACAGACACACAACGAAGCCCTGTGCATCATAAGCCCCTTGTTCCTGGTGTCGGAGCTGCTGCTCAGGTCTGGCCTTCATGTATTAATACCTGCGCTATGAGGGCTGCTGCCAACGTAAATAAACAGTTACACAACTGCACAACAGTTCCTTCCTTCATTCTTCCTTTCCTCCCCGTTTTCTTTCTTTCTTTTTTTTGGTAGCTGTACAGTTTGTAATCACTGGGCATGCATTCTGAATCACAAAGCTTGGAGTCTAAATTTCCCATTTAAAGCTGAAAAATCAATGTGTGTGAGGCAGAAAAGAAAGTGCCTGTATATGTGTGGTCCAGCAGTGGGAGGACACACAAGAAAATGTTAGGGGCAGCTGCAGCCAGTGAGGGGAGCTAGGGGCTGGTAATCAAAAGGTGCAGCTGCCTCTTCAAGAAATAAATACAATTAAGTCCTGCTTCGTGAAATGTTAGTAATTTTTAAAATCAAAACACATTGTGCATTAAAGCGGAAACAATTTGAAAAAGGGGGAAATTAAAATGAAATAAAAGTGAAAACAATTCAGGTGTGTGAATGTTTATTTAAATATTTATACAAACATGACCCTAAGAGCACTGGATACACTTTCCCAAAGATGGTTGTTTCCCTCAAGATATTGCACAACAGAAAATGATTAAATTCTTAATGATTCTCAAAATCAGATTTCAATGCTATATATTTCCAGCTATGTATGTAACTTGTACTATGTCAACTGTGAATCTTATTAGAGTCACAGTATCATCCAACCTATAGCAAGAGAAATCAATTGGTAAGAATGTCACTTAAAAAAGTCAAATAGAGCTTTGAAATGGAATCATTTACATTTTCACCTTATAAGACATAAAACTCCTTTTTTTACCCAAGACTTATAATATACAATTATGTACCTTCTACTTTCAACAACATGAAAAATGTTTTGAGTATCAAACAGTATATTATCTACCTTGTAGATAGCATCTTCATCTAACACTGCCACTGTGTTAGCAACTTTTACATGACATCAAACTAGAAGAAAAGCTGCTCCTAAATTGCTTTTATTTAATAAATCAAGACAAATTTGGCACTAGACTTTATCTAGAAATAACATTCATATTATGTAGATATTAATAGTAAAATCTTGTTGTTTTAGGTTAAATAATTCCTTCCTATTAGGAAAAGCAGCTCTTTGGAACAGTTTTTAGTAACACTAATTTAGCTCTACCATGACAGCCCTCTGAACCCCCTTAATTCAGGGGGCATCTGAATTCTAGATTAAGGAATGATTATTACCCAAACCTGGAAACTATCACAAACAGTCCTAACCACTAAAAACAGCCATATCTTCAACACTATTTACAAGACTTTATATAATAAATAACTTTTTTGCAGCAATATAGTGACACCCCTCAAAGAAGTTTGTGGTTCACAGATTTCCAGAGGTTTCTTGTTACTTTCATAAAAACACATGAAATGCAAATCTATACCACGTGAACAATGAGATCTGAAAACATTTAGGTATTTTCCACCATGGCACAAATCGTGAAGGCCTCGCCAGCACCCTCAACGTCCAGGGGCCCGAGCGTTTTTTGTTTCCTCGAGTCAGTACAGAGAACTCTCGGAGTTGAGAAGGCTGAGAGGAGAGGGGAGCTTCTTCTTGATCTGAGGCCTCGAGACCCCAACGGAAGGGAGGCACAGGGTGCTGGCCGACTTCTGCCTGTTCTTGCTGGTGCCCCAGCTCAGGAAGGACAGCTTCTTCGAGATTTTCTTGGTCTTATCACTTTTATCGTCGTCCTCAATGGCTAAGCAGATCATGGAGTACGTTTTCTGCATCCCCACGGAGTACGTGGCACACTTATTATGCTGCGCCCAGACAAGGAAGGAAAAGGGTGTCAGACATCTTCAGGATGTCTGATCCGCGACCGCCGAGTTGCAGACTCATCCTGCACTTACAGCACCCTCTTAAAAATTAAGTTGATATAATTCTGAAACTCGGGTGTCACCAATGCTTATGGAAACTCTGAAGCTGATGTAAGAATGCTTATGGAAATTCTTAAGTTGATATAATTCTCAAACTCAGGTGTGACACCAATTTTAAGGAATTTTTTTTTTTTTGAGAGAGAGAGTCTCGCTTTGTTGCCCAGGCTAGAGTGAGTGCCGTGGCGTCAGCCTAGCTCACAGCAACCTCAAACTCCTGGGCTCAAGCGATCCTCCTGCCTCAGCCTCCCCAGTAGCTGGGACTACAGGCATGCGCCACCATGCCCGGCTAATTTTTTCTATATATATCAGATGGCCAATTAATTTCTTTCTATTTATAGTAGAGACGGGGTCTTGCTCTTGCTCAGGCTGGTTTCGAACTCCTGACCTCGAGCAATCCGCCTGCCTTGGCCTCCCAGAGTGCTAGGATTACAGGCGTGAGCCACCGCGCCCGGCCTTAAGGAAAATTTTTAAGAAATGTACTCAGGTGTAGCAACTCAAGGCTTAGAAACCACTACTCACTCCTTGAGGTTCTTAACTATATTTGAGAAAGGAATACACAGAAATGAAAACACATGGGCCGGGCGTGGTGGCTCACGCCTGTAATCCTAGCACTTTGGGAGGGAGGCCGAGGTGGGAGGATCGCTCAAGGTCAGGAGTTCGAAACCAGCCTGAGCAAGAGCGAGACCCTCGTCTCTACTAAAAAATAGAAAGAAGTTAATCGGCCAACTAAAAACATATAGAAAAAATTAGCCAGGCATGGTGGCGCATGCCTGTAATTCCAGCTACTCGGGAGGCTGAGGCAGCAGGATCGCTTGAGCCCGGGAGTCTGAGGTTGCTGTGAGCTAGGCTGACGCCACGGCACTCGAGCCTGAGCAACACAGTGACACTCTGTCTCCAAACACACACACACACACACACACACACAAACAGTAGGGCTTCCCGTCTCCTGTTGGTGCCTCTACCTGGATGGTCCTCTTGTTCCTCCCTCACCTGCCTAGAGCAGCCCCTCCCCACCCCAGTCATTCTACCATGTTCCACGTTTTCTTTCCTTTAAGGCACTTATCAAAATCACAACCAGGTATTTGCTGCTTTAGAGTTTCCCGGGGGCAGGGACCTTATCTGTCGCGCTCGAGCTGGAGCTCCAGCACCTAAGCGAGCACCTGGCACACGGCTGACGCTCGGTCAATATTTGTGCAGTGAGTAAGTGACTGCTGTTTAGAGGGAAGGTCTAAGGTTCATTACCAAGTGTGGCAAAGTGCAGAAGAGAATCTACGGTGTGATTCCTCCCGCCTGGAAAAATTAAAGGAGAAAACGGTGCACGTGAACTTGCAGACAAGCTGAAGGCTTCCCAAGACGTCCCAGGAAGTGGCTAACACTAATGTCTCTGAGTTGTAGAGAGAGATGTTCATCACTTGTCTTAAGCCCATCTGTACTACTGGAACTGTTTTTTTAAACATGAGCATGTATTACACTTTTGTAATTAAACTTTTTTTTTTTTTTTTTATACAGAGTCTCACTCTTTTGCCCAGGCCAGAGTGCCGCGGCGTCAGCCTAGCTCACAGCAACCTCAAACTCCTGGGCTCAAGCGATCCTCCTGCCTCAGCCTCCCGAGTAGCTGGGACTACAGGCATGTGCCACCATGCCCGGCTAATTTTTCTTTTCTTTTTTTTTTTTTGTAGAGATGGGGTCTTACTCTTGCTCAGGATGGTTTTGAACTCCTGGCCTCAAGCATCCTCCTGCCTCGGCCTTCCAGATTGTTGTAATTACAGGCGTGAGCCATTGCACTCAGCCAATAAGAATTTAATCAGGAAGATAAATCAATTATTTTATCTACAGGATTAAGAAAATTTTTGCCATTATCTCTTTGAGCCAAGGTGAGCACACCCCAGTGACTGCAAGCTTAGGCGTTCAGTGGTTTGTGCCACATCACGCCGGTGGGAGGCAGAGGGCCTGGCAAAGAGATCCCCGGGGCGGGGCGTGCAGAGGTTTCACCCAGGGACACTGTCAGGACTCACCATGGATGACGTGGAGTCCAGGAGGCTCACAACCTTCATCTCGATCTCGTCCTCGCCAAAGCTCTTCAGCAGTTTCATAACCTCACCCACTGTCAGCCACTTGCAGTCCACGCCTTGAATGGAAACAATGTAATCTCCCTCCTTGGCTCCTGCCAGCTACAAAGGTATTATTTAAATAAAGGTCAACATATTTTTTTTTTGTTTTTGGAGATAGTCTCACTCTGTTGCCCAGGCTAGAGTGCCGTGGCATCAGCCTAGCTCACAGCAACCTCAAAATCCTGGGCTCAGGCGATCCTCCTGCCTCAGCCTCCCAAGTAGCTGGGACTACAGGCATGCGCCACCACGCCCAGCTAATTTTTTCTCTATATATTTTTGGTTGTCCAGCTAATTTCTTTCTATTTTTAGTAGAGACGGGGGTCTCGCTCTTGCTCAGGCTGGTCTCGAACTCCTGACCTCGAGCGATCCTCCCGCCTCGGCCTCAAAGGTCAACGTTTTGTTCACTCAAATTCCAGACCGGTTCCCAGACGCATTAAAAAAATAGATACTTGCATTACGTTTGCGTCAAGAAAGCAAAAATCAATCCTTTTCTTACTGGGCACGTGGCATCCACGAGGCCTTTCACATCAAGTCAGGCTTCCGACCTGGGCGAACCCTAAATTCAATCACCCGGATACACGTGTTTGAACCATTTCTCTGTATGTTTCCCAGGCTGACTCTGCGGGAAGCTGCCGGCGGATCCTGCTCCCAGCGTGCTTACCCCGGCCGAGCAGTACGGATCCAGGCAGTGGACCTGAACCGGGGTGTTGCCTCTCAACGTGAACCCCAAGTCCCCTTCTTCTGCGGTGAAGTGAACGCTTCGAGGAGGAGTCCACCTCTTGTTGGCCGAAAACACAGACAAGGGGCCCTTTGGAAGACAACACCGTTAGGGGTAGGATTTGAAGGCCGAACCAGACATTTAAGAGCTAACGGAAGTTTTTGACTCTTCCCCCTTTGAAAATATCACTCGGCCTCGGTCACAGACTAATGACGCCATCTCGGCTGATGAGGTGCTGGAGCAGTCAGACGAGAACATTCATTGCCACTTCTCTAGTATATCTGATATATTTTCAATAAATTTATCTCTTAGAAATTATCTTAAAAATAAGATCTCTAATACAAAAAAAAAAATCTAAAATGCCTAAAAGTAACTTTTTAAAAATATGCTGTGGTCTGAATATTTGTGTCCCCACCCACCCAAAATATGTATATTAAAACCTAACCACCAATGCGATCACTAGGAGGTGGGGCCTTTTGGAAGGTGATTAGGTCATGCAGATGGAGCCCCCAAGAATGGGATTAGCAACTTTTTTTTTTTTTTTGAGACAGAGCCTCGCTTTGTTGCCCAGGCTAGAGTGAGTGCCGTGCCGTCAGCCTAGCTCACAGCAACCACAAACTCCTGGCTCAAGCGATCCTCCCGCCTCGGCCTCCCAGAGTGCTAGGATGACAGGCGTGCGCCTGGCAGGATTAGCATCTTTATACAATAGGCCCCAGGGAGCTCTGCTGCCTCTTCTGCCATATGGGGACACAGTGAGAAGGTGTCATCTATGAACAGAGAGTGGGCCCCCACCAGACACCCAATCTGGTGATGCCTTGATCTCGGACGTCCCAGCCTCAAGAAATGAGAGAACTAAACGTCTGTGGTTTATAAGCCGCCCAGTTGATGGCATTTTGTGACAGCCGCCCAGATAAACTAAGACAGCAAACTAGCAAAATGTAAGAGCCACCTCCTTAGGTGGCTTATGAGATAAGCATCCAACTTACCAGCTTCTGAAAGAAGTCCGTTACCGCCAACTTGGAGAACTGGGGCGGTGTGATTTCAGCCTCCTGCTCAGTTTTAGCTGGAAAAGAAGATTAAAAACGAAAAGATAAATGTTTCTGTCGATAAAAGTGATCCTTGAAAACTCAGGTCTTGAGGCCGGGTGTGGCGGCTCACGCCTGTAATGCTAGCACTCTGGGAGGCCGAGGCGGGAGGATCGCTCGAGGTCAGGAGTTCGAGACCAGCCTGAGCAAGAGCGAGACCCCGTCTCTACTGAAAAATAGAAGGAAAGTAATTGGCCAACTAAAAATATATAGCAAAAATTAGCCGGGCATGGTGGCGCATGCCTGTAGTCCCAGCTACTGGGGAGGCTGAGGCAGGAGGATCGCTTGAGCCCAGGAGTTGGAGGTTGCTGTGAGCCAGGCTGACGCCACGGCACTCAAGCCTGGGCAACAGAGTGAGACTCTGTCTCAAAAAAAAAAAGAAAGAAAAGAAAAAGAAAACTCAGTTCTAGAGCCTTCTCTCCGAAGGGAAGAGGCAGCGACACTCTCTCCTGGTCACCTGTCCTTCCCCTTGGTCTAGCGAGCAGCACAAGAAGATGGAATACTGCTCCAACCCCCGCCAGTGGGCAGCTACCGGGCCAGTGAGCTGCTCTGGGCTGGGACGAAGCAGTGACGGTCAGACGCGACGCCCCCTCCAAGGAGCCCCTGGCGTCTGTCGGGCGTCCTCTGGCGCTCTTAACGCCCTACTGAGGAGCCACCTGCACTTCAGGGGCTGCAGTTACGGACGTTCCATGTCCCAGTCTACAGTCCCGGGGGTACTGGGCTTCCTGTTTTCATCGTGACTGTGCAATGTGAGGACTTCACAGCGAGGGGTGGCTTCGCCGAATGCCGTCCGCTGGTAGCTACACACCTCTGTGAACAACAGTGTAGCGGAACATCCAGGCAAGGATGGCTGGCACCACCAAGGTGGCTCACACCCCTCTGTCCACAGAAGGACCCTGTGGCTCCTTGCAACCCACTTACTCCAGCGCGGGGCTCCGGCAGCTACTCGTCTACTACAAGAGCCGCTGCCCCCACTGCAGCTGCTCGCCCCCTCTCCGTGGAGTTTGAGTCTCTACCTCCCAGCCACACAGGTGCCTACCGTGTCCCTGAAGGACAGTCCCTGGGCACCAGCCCTGGTTCCACCTAGCAGCTTGGTCCCTGAGGGCAAGAACTTTGATCTCCTTAAGCCTTAATTTCTTTCTTTCTTTATCTTTTTGTCTTTCTTTCCTTTCTTCTTCTTTCTTCCTTCTTCCTTCCTTCCTCCTTCCTTCCTTCCTTTCTTTCTCTCTTTTTCTTCTTCCTTCTCCTTTCTTTTCTTTCTTTCCTTTTCTTTCTTCTCTTTTCTTTCTCTCTTCTCTTCTCTTCCTCTCTTTCTCTCTCTCTCTCTCTCTCTCTCTTCCTCTCTCTCTCTCTCTCTCTCTTTCTTTCTTTCTTTTTTTGAAACAGAGTCTCACTCTGTTGCCCGGGCTAGAGTGCCGTGGCCTCAACCCAGCTCACAGCAACCTCCAACTCTTGGGCTCAAGCGATCCTCCTGCCTCAGCCTCCCGAGTAGCTGGGACTACAGGTAAGCACCGCCATGCCCGGCTAATTATATATATATATATTTTTTTTTAGTTGGCCAATTATATTTTTTCTATTTTATGTAGAGACGGGTCTCCTCTTGCTCAGGCTGGTTCGAACTCCTGACCTTGACCGATCCTCCAGATGCTAGGATTACGGGCGTGAGCCACCTCGCCCAGCTAGCAGTCGTATTTCTGACCCTCTGTATTCCTGAGCTCAGGGCACCTGGGAGACGCTCGAAATGTTGGCCGCGATGAAAGGTGGAGGCGAAAGACAGAGACAGCAAAGCGCAGCTCCCAGAGGCAGCCGGAACGAGGGTGGGTGCGGAGCCCGCAAAGACCGTCGGACCACAGGGAAAGCTCCCGGCTGGAGGTGACTGGCGGCTAAGACCCAAGGCAGCCTATGGACGTTACGAAAATGGATCTAGGGAACGAAGCAGGAGAGCAGACCCCTGGAAATGCCGGAGGAAGTGGGTGGGATTGGCAGGAACAGCGGCAGAGGGATGGGAAGCAGCGATCAGGGCGGCGAGAAACCGAGACGGCAGGTGCTCGGTGCCAAGGGAGGACTGTCGCCGGGCCTGGGTGCATCTTGCTGAAAGGGGTCGCTGACAAGGCTGCAGACCATAAGGAAGCCCTGCACTTGGGAGTCAGGAGATGGAAACTCCAGGCAGAGTAGCAGCACATCAAGCGGCCGGCGCGGGTGGCTCACGCCTGTCATCCTAGCACTCTGGGAGGCCAGGCAGGAGGATTCTTCAAGGTCAGGAGTTCAAAACCAGCCTGGGAAGAGCGAGACCCCGTCTCTACTAAAATAGAAAGAAATTAACTGGCCAACTAAAACATATATAGAAAAATTTAGCCAGGTTGGTGGCGCATGCCTGTGGTCCCAGCTACCTCGGGAGGCTGAGCAGAAGGTTGCTTGAGCCGCAGAGTTTTGAGTTGCTGTGGAAGCTAGGCTGACGCCACGGCACTCACTCTAGCTGGAGAACAGAGTGAGACTCTGTCTCAAAAAAGAAGCATCCCCATCAGCCCCTGCCTCTTTGCAGCCTCAAGCCACCAGCGCCCGCGAGGCCGGTCTGAGCCCTGCGGCACTGCACACTACACACTGAGCACTGTGCACTGAGCACTGAGCCCTGCCGCAAAGCAGGCCCGGGTTCCCCGGGGAGCCCGTGTCGCGGCTGGGAGCTCTGTCCGAAGGACGGGCATCCACGCCACACCAGACAGCGCGCACGCGCTCCCGTGACTCCGAACGATGTCGGGAGCCTGGATCAGGTTCAGGAGGTCATCGTCGGCCTGGTGCTGCGAGTACTTGAGCCGGGAGCGCTCCTGCGCGCGGAGAGCACCTCCTGGAGCACCTCGATGTGTGCGTCAGCTTGCTTTGCACAGGCTTGGCCTC